TAGACCATTAGACTCATTTAGCCCTGCCTGACCATGTCTGCTGCAATTTGGAGGTAATTCAACTTGACTAGTCTGACTACATCCATCTGGACTGCCTCTACTGTCTGACATAAACATATTCTATTTTCAAGGACTGTTCAGTTGAAATAAACTAGTCAAGGACAAGCTTAGTTTCAATCAGTTTCAACCCTCAGCCCCAGCTCCCTCCCTATTTTCTCCCACTTTATGATAAACAACCCCTTCGACTAATCCGCCCAGAACAAACCTGGCTGATACCATACAACTTGATTAATGCAACCAGTTATATGATAGACTGCTATCAGCTTTTATACTTCCCGCTTACAAAATGTATACAAGTTTTTGTTTCACTCTTAGTTGGAGCTGGTGATTTTGGAATTGATTCCCACCAGCCTGCTGGTGTCAGATCGATAAATGTTGCCTTCTAGTCTCCTTAGTACAAAGAGTCTTCCATTTGGTTTGATACTTTATAAAGACAGATATACAAACCAGAGGAATAGAGTTGACAGTCTAAAAATAAATAAACATTTTTCTTTGTTTTTGGTGCTGGGAATCGAACTCACAATCTCATACTCACCAGATAGATGCTGTGTGTGTCACTGAGCTATATCCCTAGCCCCTTAGAAATCTTCATGCTCATGGTCAAATGATTTTTTTGACAAGGGTGCCGAGATACTCAACAAATGGTGGGGCCAGAAATATAGCTCAGTGGCATAAGTACCTGACTGGCAAGCACAACATCCTGAGTTCAGTTCCCAGTCCCAAAAGACTAACAAAAAACAAACAGTGTTAGGGCAACTGAATATCCACATGCAGAAGAGTGAAGTAGTCCCTACCTTATGCTATATATATAAAAATTTAAAAAAACAATAAAACCCCTTAAAATGGGTCAAAAACCCAACAATAAGAGCTAGAACCACCAAGCTTGGTGGTGCATGGCTGTAATCCAGCATTCAGGGGGCTGAGGAAGGAAAATTGCTGTAGTCAGCCTGGTCTATAGAGTGAGTTCAAGGCCATCCTGAACTACATAGACCATCTCAAAACAAAACAAAACAAAAACTGTAAAGCTTGAAAGAAAATATAAAAGTAAAAGTAAATGATCTTGGATTTGGCAAAACATAGGCACCAAAGTAAAATAAATTGGGCTTCATTAAAATTAAAAACTTTTGTGCATTTATAAACACTATCAAGAGAGGGAAAGGGCAACTCACATGATGGACCAAAATATTTACAAATCAAATCTGATGAGTATTCAACATCCAGAATCCATAAAGAACTCTTACAACTTAACAAAAAAGAAAAACAACTATTTATTTAGTCTTTTTTTTTTGAGACAGGGTCTTGCTCAGCAGTTCAGGCTGGCCTTGAGCTCACTTTGTAGTCCACAATGGTCTCGACCTTGCAACCATCCTCTTGCCTCAGCCTCCCGAGTGCTAGGATTACGGGCATGTGCCACCATGCCTGGTCCCAGCCCATTTTTATATATATATATTTTTATTTTGAAATAGGATCTTGCTAAATTACCCAGGTGATCTTCCTATCTCAGTCTCCCAGAGTGTGGGATTATAGGCATGTACCACATGTCAGCTTAAAATAGCTTTTTTTGCCCCCAAAGGAAAATAACAAATATTGGTAAGAATGTGGAGAAACTGGAGCCCTTGTATACTGCTGGTAGGAATGCTGGTGGAAACAGTTTGACAGTTCCTCAGAAAAAGCACACAGAGATTTACCTTATGACACAGCAATTCCACACCCAGGAGAACGGAAGCAGGGACTCAAACCCACACTTGTTCATTCATGCTCCCAGCACATTATTCACACTGGCCTGAAGGCGAGCAATATCATTACTGTTACTCACTCTGTGACATGGATGAACCTCAAGATATTACACAGTGAAATAAACCAGACACAAAAGGACAAATAGTTAATTTCATTTTCGTGGAATGCTTCCAAAAGGCAAACTACAGAGACAGAAATTAGAGGTCACCCGAAGCCGAAGGAAAGAGGACAAGGAATTATTAGTGCAGTTCCTGTTTGAGATGAATAAAAAACAGTTTTGTAAATTGTGGTAAAGGTTACATAATATGAATGTGTTTGATGACAGCAGAAAAGTTTGGAGAATTTTGTTCTGTTACAAAGATCAGAGTGTAGAGAAGTTAAGATAACCAGCTAACAGCTAGCTGCTAACCAAATCAAGGAAAAGACCCTGTATGCAGAAACCTGTGCTCAGACTGTGGCTTAGGGGCAGAGTGTGTGCTTAACATAGGTGACACCCTGAAAAAGCACTGAGCCCCAGCATCCTCCTCCCACAAAAGAAATCCCTGGATGTCGAAACCTTGAAATGTTGACTTAAATTTCATCACTGCTTCCCTGCAGGGCTGCTGCAGATTGTTCACATATTAACTTTTAACCCCAACCAATCCAGAAGCAGTAAGCACTTCTCCTTATGGACTATCTATACGGGGAGCTTGCCTGGTTTTTTGTTTTTGAGTTTGCCTGTTTTGAGTTATCCTGTCCCTCCTATCTATGACCAATGTAGGTTACAGTGCTTTCTTCCCCAAAGGTTATGGGGGTGGGATTGAGTTCAAGGTTTTCACATTGAGCTGTTTTTTGTTTTTTGTTTTTTTTGGTCTTTTTCGTTTTTATCGGTACCAGGGATCGAACTCATGACTGCCTGCTTGCAAGGCAGGTGCTTATGCCGCTGAGCTAAATCCCCAGCCCCTTGTTTGTTTTTTTGAGTCAGGATCTCACTCTGTAGTTCAGGTTGCCTTGAACTCACTATGTAGCCCCAGCTAACCTCAAACTCACTGTGATCCTCCTCAGTCAGACTGTTTTATTTTTTGAGGCAAGGTCTTGCTAAATTGCCCAGGATGGACTTGAGTTTGTAATCCTTGTCCTCAGCCTCCCAGAGTCCTGAGATTACAGGTATATGGTACCACACCCGGCTCTTCCCTAAAGTTTATGAGGAAAGCTCTTGTCCAGTGGACATTTCCTAACTGCTACCTGGCCCTGGTGCTGGGAGTTGGGAGAATTTGTCCTGGGACTTGGGCTTTTCTTTTTCTGGCTAGCATTTGCCACAGTTCAATAAACCCTTTTATTTTCACAGTTCTCTGGGGAGTCATGGCTTAACATTCCAATGAGTTGTACACTTAGAAATGGTAGATTATAAGTTCTGTATATGTTACAATTAAAAGCAAAAGAGTGTAGCACATGCCTCATGTGTAAAGGGTCATTCCTAGCACAGCAGAAAAAAGAAAGAAGTCTTCTTCAGAAAAAAAACAAAAACAGTAGTGAAGCAAAAATTTTAAAAACAAACCCTACCCTAGCCTTCTCTGTTCCAAAAAGGAAAAAAAGGACATGCCATTCCTGATAAGGAAGCAAGACTCAAAAAACTACTGCAGGGTCCAGCTCCCCAGGGCTCCCAAGCAATGAAAGGGCCTATCTCTGCTAAGCAGAGCTGACTACCCTGCCTACTGCCACCCACCCAACCTGTGCCTATTGGTACAGTGTGCCCTTTGAGGGACACCCACTTCCCTTCTTCACAGCAGGGGAAGCAGCCATCTTTACTATAGCAGAATCTGCCCACCCCATGCTCGTCCTTGTCATGCGCCTTTGCCATGTGCATCCAGTGGCAAGAAGGGATGGGTCACAGCAATTTCTGCATAGATGAACACAGACCTGGACAAGTGGATACAAGAGCACGCTAGCACTCCATGTTCCTTGTCATAAGCCCATTGAAGTAGTCTCTCCAAGACCAAACTCCAAACTATCACCTCCATTGTCTCCCATCACGTTTGTCTTCAAGACCCAGAGGAGGCAGTCAAAATGCCTGGCAGTGGGCTGGGTGTGGTAGCACACACTTGTCTCAAAATAATAAAAATAAAAGCAAGCCTGGAAATTAGCAGTGTGTGGTGATATGTTTATAGTCCCAGTTACTTGGATGGCTGAGACAAAAGGATCACTAAGCTCAGGAGTTCACTGCCAGCCTGAGCAGCATACTGACACACCACCTAATTATAAGGTTTGGGTGGAGGCCCCTAGTCACCCTCAAGTTGGAAGGGGGGTCACTGACTCCCAAAGCATTATTCTGTAAACCTTTGCGGGAAAGTGCTTTGCTACATCCATGCTGATTCTGTAACTTCACCCAGGTGCACCCAAACAGGGTGGAGTGAGGGCTTCTACTGGACCCTGTTCTTTCCTTGCTCCAAGACATGCCCAGCAGGTCTAGTAGCACCTCAGAGTCAGGAAATGGAACAGTAACACTTTTGAGGACATTACAAAAGGAATGGGCTAAGGGGGACTAAGTCACTGCTCCTGCATATCTGTATCCTCTCAGGCCTTGAAGGGTCAGCAGGGTAGAGTCTTCCTGTGCTCTGTGCCCACCAAAGATCCTCAGAAGTAGCAAGCTTGTCTGTGTGACAGCCACCTCCCCTAGGACAACCTTTGGGCCCCTCTGTTGTATTCCACCTTTTGGTTGCCTCCAATTGCTGTCTTAAAAAGGAAAAGAGCTGCAGGAATGGAGTTGAGATGCTGTACACACCAATAGCACTTGAGCTGTTTCTGTATAGACTGTTGCTGGCCAGGCTACTGCTGTCTTTTCCAGTGCCACGAGCCTTGGATCTGGACTCGGGTTTTGCCAGGGCTGCTGTTGCACTTTACCAGCTGCCTCTGCCCTTACTTGTTAGTTCCATGAGCATTGTCTCCTCAGTACTGGCAAACTGAACTGTCTATAGACAGAGGCTAAAAGAGAAAGCTCAGGGGGGAAACTCCAGGAGGCAGGGTAAGCACAAGCTCAGCCTTAGGGGCAGGACCATAGGACATGGAACTAAGCCCATTTCCTCCTTTGTAAAATGAGTCATCACCCCAGGTCTGCAGCATGGTAGACAGCAAGGCTCAGTAAAAGTCTATATAAAGTCTACTGACTGCTCACCATCAGAAAGTGCACAAGAAGCCCAAGGCAAAATGGGTATGGTGGCACATACCTGTAATCCACGCACTGTGGGAGGTGAGGCAGGTGGGATGGAAATTTGAGTCTGCCTGGCAATTTAGACTCCGTGAGACCCTGTCTCAAAGTGAAATATAAAATTTTTTTAAATGGCTGGAATATAGCTTCATGTTAAGGTTCTGGGCTCAAAACCTAGTAGAGGAAAAGGAGGAAGGAAAGGAGGAGACATTTAAAGATCTCCATGTACTGCCCACAGGACTCAAAAACTGAGTTTATCTCAGCTCTAACCATTTATCTTTTTTCCAAATGTTTCACAGAAACATCCTTCATTAAGTGCCAGATCACTTGTACATCCAGCAAATGGCCTTATCCCAAGGCCATTCACAAATAAAAGTTCTTCACAAATAAAAGTTGCTTATATAAAAGGGACTTCTATTGTCCAGAGGAAAGCTGAATGTCTCGTCTCGTCTCGTCTCGTCTCGTCTCGTCTCGTCTCGTCTCGTCTCTTCTCTTCTCTTCTCTTCTCTTCTCTTCTCTTCTCTTCTCTTCTCTTCTCTTCTCTTCTCTTCTTGAACAACAGAGTCACTAAGATTCTCCTTGACCACAATCAGACCAGGCTTCTTCTAAAGACTTAAACACAGTTTCTAACACTTCAAGGTCACATTCCTATGATGGTCCAACAGTACTCCCATCCCCACCCCCTGATCAAATGCCTAAGAAAATTCAAAGCTGTGAGACAGTTAGGGATCACTATGGTGGGACAGTGGTAGAACCGATGGGTGGAACAGCAAAATACTATAAACCCTTGGGTACAATAAACTATTACCCTCACTAGCATGGCATCTTTCAATAGGCATTTGTATAAAATGAGACACCAAGAAAAACCTAACTAAGCCTTCCTCCTTCATTTGCTCTTGTCAAATTAAAATCAGTATTTTTGGAGGACATACAGTTAGGAAGTACATTAGTTGATGTGTGGGTTATAACAGTTGTGAGGCTTGACTTGGACATTACTTCCCCAGCATCCAACCTGTCTGCCAGCAGGGGTATTGTTCTTAGCTCAGAACCATTGCCCTCAGCAAACACAGAATGTCATAAAAGAGATAAACTGGAACTCAGACTCTTGCAAGCACCTGGACATCTAAAGACACTTAAACATTCACAACAAACATTCAAACAAACAGGATGCTCCAAGGACTTTTCCCACTGAGGCACAAAACATCCAGAGAACTTGACCATTGATGTTTAAGAGCTTCTCACCTAATGTTCCTTGCTTTTTTTCAAGCCCTATAAAAAAGCCCACTTCTCTTTGTTCCCTACAGCTAGCCTTTTCACCCTGCCTGTAGGCACCCAAGCACAATAAATTCCATGCCATGTTGCCTTTACACAAGCCTGGTGGTCTCAGCTGGTCTCTGCCTTACAACAGCAATCTGGATTACTTCCCAGAGACTTGAAAGCCATTATTGCTAAAAACGCTATTCAGGCCTGCAGAAATCTGATGGGAGACTAAAATGGGATAAAAGGTTTGACATTTCTGTCTTCATATTGTGTCTCTCCTTTGCTACATCTTGAAACTTGAGTCTGATTCTGCTGAACTCTGAGTGTAGACATATTGATCATCTAAAAATGTTTAGTCCAAGACTTAACAAGAGACAGCTTGCCCTACTGCTCTATTGGAGCCAATGTGTGTTTTCTTTCCCCTTTTTTCCTTCTACTCTTGTGCTGCTTTAGAAATTACAAAAGCCTAAACACCTAAAGTTCTTTGGCCCTATCATAGAGCTCAGACTCACAAAGGTAGGATAATACTACCAGATACTACTCAAAAATTCAATAGCCTCAAAGAAAAGCTTACTATGACTACCCACTGATCCAAGTCCCTCACAAAAAGAAGTATCTTTTGGAACCATGTCCCTGACCAACAGAAAACACCAGGCTTTAGTCCACTCCAACAAATCAAAAAAAAAATCTGTTCTTTGTTTTAGGAACAGCAGAGTGGCCACTGTCTAGATTGTTACCCCCTTTCGGCCATAGTCCCACTTTGGCTGAAACCTTTTTCTCACCCAATAAAGCTTTCCCTGTGCAGGAGTGTATGTGCTTGCAATATCTGACCCAGTCTTGCACCAGGGTCAAAAGATCACATCCTCTAGTAACAGTTGCTACAGATTACCAATTGATTCCAGCCAACAGTTAAAGATAGGATCCTGACTCACAGCTTCTGTGAGAAGATGAGTTTGACTTCTATAAGTCTCAGCACTCACCTCGACATGTTTCTCATGGACCAACTCTCCCTCCCTAATTTTTATTAATTGCATGTTACTCCCTTAAACCTCTGAAACACTCGTTTTCTCTGCACAAAAGGGAACGGAGCTCAGCTCTTTCCCCTATTGTTTCTAAGTAAAATCTGTTTTTTGCACTTTAACCGATGTCTAGCTGTGTTTCTCTGTGACATAACACCCTTCTTCAGTCAAATCCTATTGTACCCAAAATATGGAAGACTTTTTATTTCACAATAAAAAGCAACAGGACACCAAAATCCCTGGCTGGAAAAAAATCCAAATGTTATCTGTTAGGAGGGGACTGGGGAGACTTCTTCCCTCATTCTCAGTCATTCCCATGGCGGGGTGGGGGGTGGGGTGGGGGTAGGGGTGGTGGGGGTGGTAGTGGTGGTGGCGGTGGTGAGGCTTCCGCAAATCACCCAGACTCTGCAGAGGGTCCCGGACCCCTATGGGGCCCTTCCTGATTAGGCAGCCAGCCATTTTGTATAAAGCAAAGGCCTGGAGATACACCTCAAGGCTTTCAAAAGCAAACTTGTTCACCAAGATATCACTAAAACCGATCACCAAACCCCTCTGCAACTGGGGCACCACAGATCCTCCCCCAGAGTTTAACTTTTTGAGCTGTAATTCCACCCAAGACCCAAGTGGGAGCCCGCTATGTCAGGCCACACCCTCATCAGGTCCTACTCCAGGGCCAGTCTGACCCTCCAGGTTGGACAGGCAGCCCTCACTGGAGGCCAGACCTCCCACTCTTGTATTGACCCCGCCGCCATGCCTGCACAGGTCAATTCCCTCCCCAAAATAAGTCCAGTGACCATCCCTTGTCCCGCGACATTCTCCCTCCTTCAGGTAAGATCTCTTCACAACTGCCCGAATTCGCGACCCGCATCCTGATCTCATCCTGGATGAGACCCATCCTGGTCTGACCCTCCGGCCCGACCCACCCGCGCCCCGAGGTTGGATCCCTCCTTGCCCGCTCAAATTCCCCAGCCCCGGGAGGATACCCTTCCGGTTCTGAGTTCGGACCCAGGCCGAATGCCTCGCCTGCCGCCGCCAGCCGGCGCACTCACCTCTCTCGCAGCCAGGTGACCCGGACTGCAAGACGCGTCTGCGGCGGAGCAGGCAGCGCCACGGGCAGCCCCGGCCGCTCCGAGGCCCCGCAGTTATGGCGGCGGTGGCGCTGGCTCTGCGGAGACGCGGGATGCGCTTCCGGTGGCGGATTTGGGCCTCTGCGGGCGGGGTGCGGGGCGCGGCGGGAGGCGCAGCAGGTAGGGTGGATTTCGGAGTGACGGAATCCTGGAAAGGGTATCCGCGCAGCCTGAGGAGCGTCTATGTGGGGTTGTCCGCGCGACTGGCGGGGGTGTCCCTATGGGGTGTCCACGTCGGGGTCTCCGCGAACGGGTTGGGTTACTCGCGTAGTGGGTGACCCTGCACAGGCATCTTTGCATGAAAGTCTTGGATGGGTATCTGACCTGTTTCTAGTCAGGTAGCCGCTTTCTCAGAGAAACTGAGGCTGAGGGTCATTTCTTGCGTTAGGTTCTCCTGCTCTAGCTGAACTTGCAGTCTTCAGGAATTCGTGTTCCCCCAACCCTAGTATTAATTGTAGTCCTGAGCAGAATAATGCTTCCCCAGGCACCTCCTCTCTAAACCCCTGTGGCTGCACACAGCTAGTGTTTATTACTTGCACTTACACTGGTAAGAAATGAATGAGTCGACCAGAGGGAATCAAGCGGACCTGAGCACCCAGTGCATGTGGGACTCTGTGGGTACCCTGGGAAAGGGGAAGATACATTTGTCTCTTTGAGCCATGAAGGGCCGTTGACCTACTCAGAATAATTAGTAATGTCAAGTGATCTGAGCAGCAGAGGCCAGGCATCAGATCACTCAGGAAGGTTCATACCAAACCCTACTTAGTGGGTTCCCTTGGTGCGATCATTCCTCACTCTGCCCCTTATATGTAAGTGCAGATCTCCACTCTCCCAGAAATATGTGAATGTGAAGATATGTGAGCAAGGACAGGTCAGGATTTCATAGAGATGGTGGTCATGAGAGACTAAGTGTCTGGCCCTTGCCAGCTGTGGACTTAGGAGGGAAAGGCAACCTGACTGTATAAATGGTCAAGGACTTTGGGAATCCTGACGGTGGGGATGGCCCTGCAGAGCTGCAGAAGGTGAAAACCGAGGGCTGCTTTTATAGTTTTGCTGAGCACTGGAACCCTGGCCAGGGCACCTGTCTTTCAGAACATCCTTCTTGCACTGGGGTGGGGGAAGTTACCCTTTCTAAATGTACTTCTGAAAAAAACAAAACAAGCAAGCAAACAAAACCCTAAGACAAATAAATGCATCTGTGCCAGTGGAGTCATCGCTCCACCTGGTGGCAGTAAATAAGAGCTGCAGATGTGGTTACAAGCTAAGGCCTTCCTAGGTTTTAGGATTGAGCATTTCTTCTAGCCCAGCAAGAGGCACCACTACCTTGAGGATTTTGGCCCAAAGCCTGAGGAGTGCTGGCAGCAAGGGAAACCCTGAATTCAGACTAGAGCTTTGCCCGAGTGATGAGCTAACAAAGGTATCAGCTCCTGAAGTTGACTTCAAGGCCTATTCTGAGTGCTCCGTTTCTGCCTCACAGCTTCCTTTGGAGCAGAAGACTTGCCCTTCTGAGTTTGGGAGTGGGTGGTGCTGCCTCTAATTAGGAACTAGAATGGCAACACTCCTGGAATCACCTGACCTCTGACACCTTTCAGACAAGAGCTCAAGGAAAGTATCACATCTGCACTGAAGGCTCCTGGAGGTGGCTGCCCTTGATGGCCAGCCTAGCTGTTGATGCATGTCTTGCAGGAGGCCTTCTTAAGCACCACCTTTGCTGGGCTGTTTGCTGACCCTGCACTAGGCACTGGATTCAGAAAGGAACAGAAAATTAAAGGCCAGTGTGGTCAGAAGGCAAAGGCAAAGTGAAACACATAATGAAACCCTGTTGCCACGGAGGTATCACTGGCTGAAGTAGGCAAAGGCCAGGGTGTGAGGGTTTCTCTCAGGTAACACCTGCTGCCCCGCCCTTCTGCAGATCGGTATCAACCCCATCCATCTTTAGAGTCCATCCTTAACTTTAGTAGTCTCCAAATCCTCTCAAGAGTTAAAAGGTAGATCTTGTAAACTGCTCCACTGTGGCTCTGTTCCAGTGGTTTATCAGACTAAGAGGGATCCTGGGCGTGCCTGCGGAAGGGCAGATGACCCAGGATAAGCCTGCAATCCACGATAGCCAGCCTTCTGTTGCCTGATGGCAGGCAGAGTGGGCACACTGCAGGGCTGCAGGACAAAACAGCATAATGGGAACCCTTCTTTGCTGACAGGAAAGACAGGCGTCTATAATGGAAGGTAGGAACTTTGCTGGGGCAAAGCTTTGAGGCCCCTGTCTATTACCAGGCAGCCGGAAAGGAGAGAGATGGGCCTTGACCAGGGTTGTGCTTCCAGTGGCAACTTGGTACCAGTCATTGTTGGTTCCCTGGACTCATGAAACCATCAGTTAGGCCTTTTCATAGTCCTTGAACATAGAATTGGGGGGTGCTTTGGATTGGCTGTGACTCCATCCAATCCTGTTTGCATGTATACACATCTCAAATGTCAACTGCTGGATAGGACTTAGAGTGAGTCCAACTGTGAGGCTGGCCACCTACCAGCCATGAGCCTGTTTTGGGCTCTGGGTCTGTGTCTCTGCAATTCACAGACCTGTCCAGGCAGCCAGCATCACTTAGGGACATGGGTGCTCCAGTGAACTCTGTATCTTGCCAGCCCAGGAAGAGTGAGGTGGCTGCAAATACAGGTCCATCCTCATAGTAGATGCTAGGCTCTCATGCTGATGGGTGAAGATTCCCTAGTCTTGGGTGGCAGGCCTGCTTTTGTCATAAGACCCCTGGACCTTGCCTGGGAGCAGTAGCCAGGTCCAGATACCTTGGGAAAATGGCACTTTCAGCAGGCTCATGTCTACAGAGGTGCTGATGGCATTGCTTGTTTATACCCCAGACCCTTGTTACCAGTCCTCAACCTTCCGTTATCCCCATGACTGATCATTTTATTATTTCTGTCATTTCTTCCTTCTTTGATGAAAGAGTAGCCTGGTGCTTGGTGCTTGGTGTCCCCAACCAGCTTAGTTCACAGCACTTAACACCTCTCTTTCTCTCTCCACTCTTTCCCTCCAACCTTCTATCTTTACCCCACCCTTTTGGTGCTATTTGCTTGCTTTCCAAGGAGCAGCTTGCAGAGTAAATTATATGATGCCTCATGAGGTGAGAAGGGCTCTGGCAGCCCACTGTGCCACTGTGGGTAAGCAAGGAGGATGTGAGCTTCCTTAGGCAAACCTGAGGCAGCTCTGTGCCTAGCATCTTTTCCCTTCCAGATCTCACTGTGCAACCCTACATCCCGAAACACATGACTTTCATGTAGCAAGGACAACACAGTTGTTCTTATTCACTATAACAAAGGGTCTCCTTTAGGACTGAAAGGAGCATGAACTCAAGGAAAACATTTTTAGTTCTGTACCTGGCTCAGAACTCTGAAGTTTCAAGTTCTGAGAAGTCCTGCTGGGTATGGGGGAAGAGTGCTGTTTGCAAAGGTGATCACATGTGCAGCACCCAATTTTGGTAGATGTTGCGTGGATTTTGGATTTGTGCATATCTGTATGAAGTTACTTTCTGCTGGAGTCTCCCATCCTGAGAAAACACCATGTTTGACCAGACAGAGCTTCTTGCCTTGGAAGTGTTGGAGGACTTTGTGGGCCTAGCTCTTTTCCTTCTCACTGCTCATCTCTTCTCCAGCAGGACAACAGGACTACGATCTCCTGGTAATTGGCGGGGGATCTGGTGGCCTGGCTTGTGCCAAAGAAGGTATGTATGTTGAATCCCGTGTCCCTATTTGTGTAGCAGGGCCTGGAAGTTTTTGGGTCCTCTGGATTGGGCAGCTGTGTGGGCATGGGCATGACTGTGCGAGCAGGACACATCCCCTTGGTAGCTGCCCTGCTAGAGTTGCCCAGCAGCCTCTTTGCTGTCCTCCTTCCCACAGTGACATGAAGGGAGGCCACAACAGTGCTTTAGTCGAAACACAATCTTCACTCATAGTGGAAGCCCCCAGGCCTCAAAGGGTCCACCCCTAACTTCCAGTCTCAACCCCCACCACCCATCTCCCCGGCCTCCTTGTTATTCTGCATACATTTCTATGAGCGTCTTCTGTCCTTCATTCACTTCATCCTGCCTGCCTGCCCTGTCTGGTCTGCCTGCCTGCCAGATTAGTGGTGGAATTTTTTCATCTCTTTCCAGTCCTTGCTGCCAACATGTCCCTACTTAGAACTACACCCCCGTGTCCAGTCTTTGTCACCAGCTCACCTGTTCTTGTTGGTGTTTGTGCCTTCTTCAGGGTCACAGCTGGTTCTGTAGATAATGTCTGGGCCTCAGCCTGTCTCTCAGTAGGTGTTCAGTAAGCCATGTTGGGTGAACAAGCTAGGTCCACATGCAGGGACCTAGCCTGGAGGACTAAGGTCTGGAGGCATGACCTTGCAGTTCTTTTTTTTTTTTTTTTTTTGTACCGGGGATCAAACTCATAACCATGGGTTCACCAGCAGCACCAAGCAGACACTTATGCCACTGAGCTAAATCCCTGGTTGACCTTGCAGTTCATTGATGTCTTTAGAACTCTGTAAGGGTTTCCTGTGGTCTACTTGGGCTGTGCCTAAAGATGATAAGAAGGCATGTAGGTGAATGGGGAGGTGAGGAGATGGACGTGAGGTGGGACCCAGATGAGAAGGAATTTGACTAAATTCTTTAGTGATGCAATTATGGCTTTATTTTTGTTTTTTTTTTTTTTTAACCCAAAAAATAAAAATTAAAAAATCCATGTTAAGAAATTATGGCTTTCTAACATCAAGTCCTGGATTTTAGAATCACAGATGACACATCAAGGAAATCCATTGTCTACAGCTTACTTGGAGGACTACGGGAAGTCTCCCAGGTGATTTGCATCAGCAGAGAGCAATGGAGTCAGCACCCGCACTGGTTCCTAAGAGCTGTGCCTGGAAATGGACAGCACAGATATGGAGATGTCCCAGTCATATCCCTTTACTATCTGCTGTAGTATTTTTTTGCTGGGGAAGGGGTACAGAAATTTTTTTGTCTTTTTGAGGCAAGGTTTTACTATGTGTTTCAGGCTGGCCTTGAACTCACTTGTAGCCTAGGCTGGTCTTTAATTTAGGACTAGATACATGTGTCGCTGCACCTAGCCATACTGTAATTTTAAAAATTTTGTTAAGATATGCTTGATATTAAGTAAACTACTTTTTTTTGGTGGTACCGGGGATCGAACTCATGACCTTGCGCTTGCCAGGCAGGCACTTATGCTGCTGAGCTAAATTCCTGGCCCCAAGTAAACTACATATTTAAGTAAAAAAAAAAAACAAAAAAAAAACCCCCTTGAGATTGGATATGGTGGTATGTATCTGTAGTCTCAGCTATTCAGAAAGCTGAGGCGGGAGGATCATTTGAGTCCTGGAGTTTGAGACCAACCTGGGCAACATAGTGAGTCCTGTTTCAAAATAAATAAGTAAAAAATGTAAGTGGAAATGTGTGACACTCATTTTCCAGGTATACAGATGTCAAAGCTTATCAAGTTGTCCACTTCTATTTGTTACTTATTTATTTTGAAACAAGACTCACTTGGTTGCTTCAGATAGGAGGTTAATTCTTTTGCTCAGTCATGGTCAAAAATGAGTGTTAAGAGTTTGGCATTCTGACAACTCTCCTCAGGCTGAGCTTGAGCACAGGAAGTCTGTCTGTCTGTCTGTCTGTCTCTCTGTCTCTGTCTCTGTCTCTTTTTCTTTCTTTCTGTTTTATTTTGAGACAAAGGTCTTGTTGCATTGCGCAGGTTGTCCTGAAATTCATGGTCTTCTTTCTTTGGCTCTTCCACCCTACTAGAATCTCATCATTAATCATTTGAGCCAGGTAGGAGTTTTTGTTTGTTTGCTTGGTGGTTTTTAAAAAGAGGAAAGGTTTATTTAGCTCACAATTTGTAAAGGTTTCAGTCCATAATTGGTTGAATCCAAGGTAGGGTGACTTGGGAGAGATCCCAGAGAAGAAACAGTTCATGGTGGCAGAAGACAGCAAAAGCAACAGAGAGAGAGAGAGAGAGAGAGAGAGAGAGAGAGAGAGAGAGTGTTTGTTTTTGAGACAAGTTCTCTCTACGTAAGCCAGCCTGGCCTTCAACTCATTATATAGTCCAGACTAACCTCAAACTCACGCTGATCCTCCTCCTCCCAAGTGCTAGGATCACAGGCATGTGCCACCACACCCAGTTGCCAAGTAGGTTTTTCTAATGAACTCTTCTACAACTTTGTGAGAGTCTTACTTTCTGACAGCCACAAATCTTCCATATTCAGTAATGTTTCAAACACTTAGGAGTCCATGAGGCTTAAGCCCAACATTGTTTTGCAGGTGGTCAAGTGTAGGGTTTAGAGACTGCCAACACAATGCCAAGGTGAGCCAAAGGGAAACTCTGTATTGTGCCCTGGCTAATAGGGCCAGAGTTGCTCTCAGAACTTGGGGCCTGTGTCTCTGGGTGGCCCTATTCACGGTGGGAAGTACCTATATCACAGGGAATATAGTTTGGACAGAGGGCAGGTAGCTCTGGACCTGCTGTTTCACTTCTCCTCAGCATTGATTTCTTCACCATGAAAGGGTAACAGCGAATGCCCACCTGGGGCTTCTGATGACAACGGACTGTGGGCACAGGCCCCGTGAGGCACCCATGATTTATTCTCACTGAGGGGGAGAAAAGCCCAGCCAGTGAGAAGGGCCTGGGCCTTCCAGTGAGCTGAACACCAGTGGGCCTCTCCCAGGTGTGGGCTGTTCCTGGAACATCTCTGAATGCTTGGGATGAGCAGTGGCGGTGCTGAACATCTGGGCCTGGAACTAGGTGGGGGCAGGAGCTGCAGGGGGATTGATCCCAGTGCTGCTCTGATGGCTGGCATGAAGGCTACAATCTGAGGAGGCCTGAGGATTCCTGCCTGTAAGCAGCACAACTGAGTGGGCAATGGGGAGGCCAGGAGATCAGGTGCAGGGCTAGAGGGCAGCATGGCCTTATAGGCCAGGAAGCGAGGCACATGGGTAGTTACTAGCATTGCTAGCTTGGCCACCACATGGATGGCTGCTCATCCAGGCTCTTTCCCGTCTTCTGATCCTCATAAGCCCAGAAAAACCTATTCCCCAGCCCTAACCAAGTCAGCTCTCTGCTGTCCTTACCTGTATCTTTCCTTGTCATTCCAGCTGCTCAGCTGGGAAGGAAGGTGGCCGTGGTTGACTATGTGGAGCCTTCTCCCCGAGGTAGGCAGCACCCCATGGGTACTCTGTCCTGCAGAGTTTGGTGGGGGGGAGTTTATGTGCAGATGGTACTGACACCAAAGTGATCTGTCCCCTTCTGTCCAGTCTCCTGAGTGCTCTGTTTAATTCATAAGCTGTCAGAACTTTAAAGTTTCTTATTATTTTAAAATGACTCTAGTTGTGGAGAGCAATTTCCTGTGAGACTCACCTTAGCCATGTTTGAGTTACTGCCTGCACACACCATGAAGGCACTCTAAGTCTGATAAGACACCAGGTGGGGCTGAGGATTTAGCTCAGCAGCATATAAGCGCCTGCCTGGTAAGCACAAGGTTGCGAGTTCAATCCCTGGTACCAAAAAAAAAAAAAAAGAGAGAGAGAGAGAGAGAACAGGAAGCCTCCTGTGCTCCCTGGAATATGAATTCAAATGTGACTTTCCAGGGCTGGGGTGCCACTCAGTGCTGGAACCTTGCCTAACATGTGTAAGGCTACAAGTTCAATATCCAGCATTGCAAAAAACAAACAGAAAAATATGCTGTTTTCATTGTCCAGGCACAAGATGGGGCCTTGGTGGCACCTGCGTCAATGTGGGCTGCATCCCCAAGAAGCTGATGCATTATGCTGCGCTGCTGGGGCACATGATCCAGGATGCCCACCACTATGGCTGGGAGGTGGGACAGCCCATCCTACATGACTGGTGAGAAACCCATGCCTGATTCTTTTCTGTTATCTTTGGGTAGAGGAGGAAATTTATTGTCTACAAACTGTGACGGAGAACAGCTATAGGATAGGGTTCTCAGCTGGGCGATGCTCTGTGCCTGTCTCCTGACACTTGGCAATATATGGAGACACTTTTAGTTGTTACTGATGGGAGAAGCATTTGCTACATCTTTTGGGTAGAGTCCAAGGATTCTGCTGAACATCTTATAGTGAGTGCATAGGCTAACCCTGTCAAGAGTCATCTGGCCCAAACACAAGGTTGTGGGGCAGGAAGTTGCTTTATTGAGCTCTTTTGAGAAGGTGACTGATGCAGATGGTGACATATGGTTCTGCTCAGAGCCCGTGCCCAGGTGGCTCAGTTTTCAGATAGGCTGCTAGCTCAAAGTTGTGACCTGGATGTAGCCACTAAGTCTGAATGGTTATGGGCCAAAGGCTCCATTTCCTGAGTGCAGAGGTTCACAGCCCCAAACCGTGGTCAGAGGCAGTGACAGCCCATGGGTTGGGTATCACATTCTACCCCTTTAAGCACACCTCGTGTCTCAGTATTTCTGGAAAGACATTACTTGCATCTATAAATCTCTACAGCTGTCACTGTTGTGGGTTTTACATTTTGGTTTGTATATCAACAGGGAGAAAATGGCCGAAGCTGTACAAAACCACGTGAAATCCTTGAACTGGGGCCACCGTGTCCAGCTGCAGGACAGGTACTGAGGCTTTGCCAGCGTTGGAGGCAGGGCAGGCAGCTCTCCTGGATTTCCCAAGGTCATTTTCTATTTGGACAAGTACTGACTGACTGCGTGGAACACAGCCTGGCAGGCTCTAGGGCCAAGGCAGCTGTAAAATGGGGACTAGGGTGTGGGGATGCAGCTAAGGAGTGCACAGGGCAGTTGCTGTAGGAAGTGGGGTACACCCTGTAGCCCAGAATTGAGCAGAATCCAGGAGCAGTGAGGAGCAAAGGAGGGGCACTGGTGGAATGGCTGGAGCCTGGGGAGAGAGGGGAGCAGTCAGGGCCAAGGTGACCTTCAAGCCTGAGTGTAAGGACATGACTGGGCCCTAGGCTGACAGGGCCCATGAGAGGCCGCCTCTGTGGCAGTGTTCTTCCTCTAGGGAATTCCCTGTTCTGCCACAGTTATGAGCATAGAGCTGGGGAGCTCCAAGTTGCACAGCAAAGAACTTCACACCATCGTACAAACCCACACCTCTCTCCTCTCAACTGTGCATTGTGAGCCCCACACTCCCAGCTCCGACACCACGCACCCACCGCGCACCTCACTATATCCTTTCCAGCTTCTGAGGTACACATAGACGGCCTTGGTGTTTCCCACTAGGGCACATTGTTTCTGTCTGACCCTTCCAACCTGAGACCACCATTTTTGTCCCTCTTGCAGATCCCAAGGCCAGGGGCTAAGCCTGCTCCCAACTGACATCTTCTGAGGGTTGGCACTTGCAGAGCTTGGCTCCTGGCTCTGCCCTTTGCCCCTGTGCTCCCTCAGGTTGGAGATCTCACCTGTGCTTTGCTTGGTCCCCTGGGGTCTTCCTGGGGCTCCACAGCAGGCAGCGCCTGGGCCCCTTCTCAGTTCCTGAGCTTCACCAGCTACTCTTCTACCAGGGAGCTTAGCTGCTTCATGCTGCAGAAATTTTCACCTTGTCTCCTCTGTGGAGTTCTACATTCCTGAGTTTGGTTTGCTGGGGCAATGGACTCAGAGCTCCAGGCAGGTGCCTGGCAGGCCTGACTGGCCCCAGGCCAGCTCCATGGCCCTCTTTAGGGAATCTCAGAGGCCCCGGCTGTTTCTACTTTGCCATACTGTGAGTAGTGTTTGTGGATGGCACATGTCCCTCATATGGCTGTCACTGGTGGCCAAGATGAGTGAAATACTCTTAACAGCCAGAAGAGTCCTGGGGTTGAAGAGGGAGAGCACAAGAGCAGAGGGAGGTAAAGCTGCCCCCAAAGCACTGAGACCCACTGCTGCACCTTGGCCTCTGTCACTACAGAGCAGGGGTCATTTCTTCACAGCACACATTTCTGCCCGCTGTTGTGCCCCACAGGCCTTATCACGCACGTTCTCCTGCGTTTGCTGAAGACAGGGCAACACTTACAAGCCTTAGCTTCCTGCAGACATGCCAGGGTGACAAAATTTGCCGTAGGGAGGCCTAGCCCTTTCTTATTGCTCACCAGGCCCTGTGTGTAGGCTCTCAACATAATGCCGAGCTTCTGTCCCTGTCTCAGCGTCTGTGACCACTGTGTCCCTGGAAACATAGCAGAAGGGACAAAGTGCCCCTTTGGCTACTTACACTTCTTGGTATGGTTTTCTTTTTGCCTTTTCTTTTTCTTTTTCTTCTTTCTGTTTTGGAAGTACTAGGAATTGAACCCAAGGTCTCACCCATGTTAGGCAAATCCTTTGCCCCTTGACTATAGCCCCAGCCCTAGATCTCACTTTTTAGTAATCTGCACAGTGCTGCCTATTTAATCCAATTGCTGAGATTTAGTTTGCAGAGAAGATGGTTAAATGTTTGAAAATCTTACTTTTACTTTGCAGAAAAGTCAAATATTTTAACATCAAAGCCAGCTTTGTCAACCAGCACACAGTTCGTGGCATCACAAAAGGAGGGAAGGAAGTGAGTATGGCTTTTCCGGTGCTGTGTGGCTGCGTGGCTTCTCTTGGACAGTGTCACAGAGGTCGGCAGCTGACGCCAGTCTTGTTGAGCCTGGGTGATATTCTAGGGAAAAGCGCTTTTGGCATGGAACAGTCGGCTTCTTTTGAGGTTGCACTTCTTTAAAGTGATTAAGCCGGACTGGCGTGTAGCTCAGTAGTAGAGCACATGCTTAGGTTTGATCTCCAACACAACAACAACAACACCAGTGTGTAAGATGTAGCTTGTACCAGGCTGCCCTGCTACTTGAGATGACCTGACAGGGAAGATGCCACCCTCTTCATTGGATTATGGGGGATTTGAGGTGGTAAGATGTCTGGTGGGTACATGAAAACTGAAGTGCGTGGAGTTAGAATGTCTCTTGTCCCTAATACCTGTCCCTCTCTTATCCAGTAGACCCTTGATGTGATCCTTGCCCTATGGGATCTCTGAGCTGCAGGCAGGGCTAGCATGGAGGCTGCTACCCTGTAGCACCTCTGGGCATTTAGCCCTTTAGATGGGTGACCACAATGTAGTTTTTGTTGTTGTCTTTGGTACCAGGAATGCTTGTGCTGCTGAGCTGTGTCCTTAGCCCCACAACAAGGTAGTTTTGACCTGTGCCTTTCTTGGTTTATTTTGCAGATGCTGCTCTCAGCTGAACACATAGTCATTGCTACTGGAGGGCGGCCAAAGTACCCCACGCATGTGAGTGTCCCCAAAGCTGGATCCTCCTCCACACCTCAGGCACATTTGTGGTCCCTGGGCTCACTGTGTGCGCTCAGTGCTTTCCATCCGAGCCCTCCACCCTGCTGTTTCTTCTGTATTCGCTGGCATCACTTTCTCCTTCCTGGTTGACGTCTATGTTGTTCAGTCCTCAAAACCATTCTTACGGCACTCTTCAGCTGGCTCCTGGGTACCACTAAGCCTAGTATTCTTTCATTTCATCCCAGAGTCCCTCCTCTTCCTTTTATTTATTTATTTTTTTTAAATCTGAGGTGTCGCTGTATTCCCCAGGCTCAAAATCCCAGCCTCAAAAGATCCTCCTGCCTCAGCTTCCCAAGCATCCAAGGACTGTAGGCACATACCACCAAATCTGGGCCTAGTATCCCTTCTAACTCTCCACTGTTGATTCCTTTTCTCTTCAGCCTTAAAATACTGGAACGTCTAAGATTTAGGCCTTCTTTACCCTTCCCTTCTTTCCCCAAATTTGAAATAAACTCTACCTTTTTATAGGGTACAGATCAATGGATTTTAGTACATTCAAAGAGTTGTGCAAACCATCAGTTACCACCATTGGTCTCCAGGACTTCTTGGTCGTCCCAAATTGATCCTCTGCAACTATTAAATAATAGTTCCCTGTGCCCTCCTCCCCAGCCCCTAGTACCCACCATTCTACTTTCTGTTTCTATTATGTGATTGTTTTAGTTGCATCATATAAGTAGAATCATACAATATTGTCTCTGTATGGCTGACTTACTTCACTTGGTATGAAGTCCTCAAGGTTCATCTATGTGGTAACAAGTGTCAAAACTTCCTTCCTTTTTAAGGTTGGAAACTATTAGCAGTGTATGTATATACCCACTTTTTCAGTGATGAATAGAGTTATTCTTTTTAGCTGTTATATGATGTACTTCTATGAGTGGCCATGTAAAAGTTGTTTGTGGTCATAGTTTTCATTTCTCTTATCTACTGAAGAGTAGAATTTCTTTTTTTTTTTTTCTTTTCTTTTTCTTTTTTTTTTTTAAGATGTGATTTTGCTAGCTTGAACTCACTATTTAGCCCAGGATGCACTTGAACTTGTGATGATCCTCCTGCCTCAGCCTCCAAGTACAGGGACTACAAGCATGCACCACCATTGTCTGGCTTTTTTTTTTTGGTACCAGGAATTGAAGTCATGACCTCGTGTTTGCCAAGCAGGCACTTATGCTGCTGAGCTAAATCCCCGGCCCCATTGTCTGGCTTCTTAAACTTATTCTATATTATGTGTGACCACTGAAATCTACTTAGTGTTCAAAAAGGACTGGGGATATTCCTAAATACCTGGAACTATGAAATCTCCCAGTCCGTGCTGAAGGCTCTGTGTTGTGTATGTCAGCTGCCCCTTAAACTCTTCCTTGGCCTTCACTTCCTGCTTGTGCAGAGATCAAAGCCTGTGCGAGGTGAGCCCAGGGCTTCTTTAGTCTTTCCTGGTGTATGTGCAGCCGTCTGCATGCCTGGCTATTGAGATTCCCAGAAATGTGTTAGAGCTCTTCAAGTCCTGTGACACCTCATTCCTCAGCTTTGCCTTTTGAGCTTTTTGGTTCATCCATTTTTGCCTCACCTGTTATCCATCACTGCAGACAGCCATAAAGTTAAAACATTAGACAGGTGGCCTGAGAGGCTTCTAGCACTGAGCAAGCTGGAGCAAGGTCAGAACCATAGCTAGGTCAAATGTTGAGTGTTTTTGGGCAGGAGGCTTTGAGTGGCCTAACCTTAACTGCCACTTCTATCCTGTGATTGCTCTGGAAATGGGAAGGAGAAAGAACCAGTGGAACATGAGTGCCTGCAGTCTCGAGGGCCGTGGGACCTGTCCTCTGTCTGTCAGGTGATCAAGAACAGCCATTAGAAGGACCCTGGCTGTTTGGTCACAGAGGTGTCCTCAGATGGCTCCCTGGATCTACAGGATGACACAGTTCGTTGTTTAACAGGGTTAGGCTCCTGGTGATTATCCATAAAGCCCTCAAAGGCCACAGTGTTCCTGAGAGCCTAGTAGTCACATTTTCTCCTCAGAGGTACTGGGCAGAGTTGTACCTCCTTCCAAACAGTGGGCCCTGTGGAGGGGTCCTGGCCTACCCCATTTGGTTCTGCTGTGCTGGATGACTGCTGGAATATTCACATGCGCACAGGAGAGTGAAGCCAGAGCTCCTGGTTTGGGAGGAGGCAGCTCAGTAGTCCCCCTGCTCTCCCCTGTGTGGACTCTGTCTCCACCATGTGCTTGTCTTCCTTGGTTGCCTGCCAAGACTTGCTTGTGTTTTTCTTTCTGCTACTAAAGATTGAACTCAGGCACCCCAGCTACTGAGCTCTTTTTAAATTTTGAGGCAGGTTTTGCGAAGTTGCTCAGGCTGGCTCCAAACTTGACATTCTCCCACATCAGCTCTCCAAGTAGCTGCGATTATAGGTCTGTGTCATCATGTCTGGCTAGCTTGTGTTTTAGTCCCTTAGATTTTTGGAACTTTTGATTTTCCTTGAATAAGCTGGAGAAATTCCTGGCTTGCTGGCTTATTTATTTATTTATGCCCAGTTCCTCTCTGCTAGCATGGCTTACTCTCACAGAGTAGACTGGAGGGACTCTCCATTTTGGGGTTTCCCCCACCTGCTTAGCTGCCCCTCATCAGGAATCTATGATTCCTAGACTAGCTTTGGAAGGTGCTGGGTGCATGCAGCCTGCAGCTTGGTGCTCTCGGAGCTCTTTGCTTTCCATGTGCAGCCCTGCTTCAGCCTGCAGTGTGACACGCTGCTCATGTATTCCTCCCCCCGCCTCGCCCCCCGCCCCGCACGCATCTTTCATTGAGATGCTGCACAGCATCTTAATCCCTGATTTGCTGATCTCTCTTTAAGCCATTTTTTTGTAAGCCTGGGACCCTGGAACCTGGGTGCTGTTCCCTTGGTCTGTGTGTCCCCATCTCCTTCCCAGATACCTAGATTGTCATGGGGAGTCAGCTGTCTGACCTCTGAGGCTGCTATGCCTGCCCTGGGGCTTTGCCCTGGGTCTGCATCAAGATTAAGGAAAGTTACCAGGTGCGCACTTATAATCTCAAGTACTGTGGAGGGTGAGGCAGAAAGATCACAAGTTCAAGGCCAACCTGGGCAATTTAGCAAGCCTGATTCAAATAAAAAATAAAAAATGCATTGACAATGTGGCTCAGAGGTAAAGTATCCCCCGCCCCTGCCAAAAAAAAAGGGCCAAGGAGAAATCTGCCTGGAAGGTCCCTTGCCAAGGTATCTCAGTACTTCCAGCACCAGGCAGAGAGCACACCAAGATAGAAAAAGACAGGACACCTCTGTCCCCAGTGAGGCTCAACTTGAAGACAAGGATGTGGGGCAAAGAAGCTCTGTCCAATTGTGGGCTGGTTGAGTCATGTCTGCAGAAGAGGCATTTTGAGAAAGTCATTAAGACAGAACAGATGATAGTCTTGTTACACTGGTGCTTTTTTCCTTGATAGATTGAAGGTGCCCTGGAATATGGAATTACAAGTGATGACATCTTCTGGCTGAAGAAATCCCCTGGCAAAACGTAAGGCTGGTGTGTGCAGGATGGGTGTCTTCCTTCTCTTCACTGCTACTCAGTTCTAAGGACATCTTTCCAGCTTCTGTAAAAGAAGGAAAGAAAGTTGGATATGTGCACCCTGTGCAGGGCCGTTGACAGTTTCCCATGGATGTCTTGGAAGTAATAATATGGATGTCACATAAAGTGAGCGAGCCATTTATTATCTAGGTCAGTGGTTGTCCCTAGGGTTCCCATTAGGTCCCCTTAGACATTAGGAAGGGCCTCAATCAAATGTCTCTAGTCATTTGTCTTGTATATTGGAAATCTCTGAAATGTGGAAAAAGCTCCAAAGGCCTTGAAAGCCATAACCCAGTTGTAGCAGTGATCCCAGCAGCGTGCGAGCAGCACACCAATGCTAAGTGAGCTTGCTTGCTCCCAGAGCTGTGCTGGTTCAAGGGTCTTGTCCCGGATGCTGTTCCCGCCTGTGCATGCAACTCCCTGGTTGCATAGATCATACTGGCCATCAGAGGGCAGCAAAGGCTTGGTTGCTGGCAGTGGTTGGCTGCCTCTGGGCTGATCCATTAGGAATGCTGGTGAAGCCCTCAGGAGACTGAGGCAAGAGGATTGCTGAGAGTTCAAGGCTAGCCACAACTACATAGTAAAACCCTGTTTCAAAAAAAAAAGTGCATGTGTGTGCATTTTGGAATGTGTATGCTTGCACATGCAGCTGGGGAGTGTGTCTGTATGTGTCGCATCATTGTTTCACATTTACAAAGCAGTGTCCGGTCTTAAGTCCCTCGCATGGTTATGGTGCAGCTTCTTTTACCTTTTGTGCATGAATGAACATCTCAGTAGTTTCTCATCTTTATAATGCTGCAATAAAACCATTTGATATGCATGTATGTACACCATCACTTTTCCCAATTTAGAGTAAAATACACATAAAATACACATTTTGACTCAAGCTTGGTGCATGCCTGTAATTCTGGAACTATGGGAAGCTGAGGCAAGATGATTACAAATTCAAGCCCAGCTGGGGCATCTTAGCAACCTAGCAAGTCCTTGTCTCAAAATTTTAAAATTTTAAAAAAGAGCTGGGGTGTAGTTCAGTGTGAAAGCCCTGTTTAATCACCAGTTTAAAGAAATTACTATCTTGGCCCTTCTATGTGTATGGTTCACTGATACTAAATGTACAGTCATCACCACCATCCATCTCCAGAACTCTTTTCATCCTCCCCACCTGAAATTCTTCATCCATTAAACCATAACTCTTCATCTCCTCTCACTCCCAGCTCTGGAGCCACCAGTGTTTTTTCTGTTTTTACTGTTGTGACAACTCTCCCTGCCTAATGCTGTGGGTACACTGCATTTGTCCTTTTGTGACTAGCCTATTTCACTAGCATAATCAAGATTCTTCCATGTTGGAGCACATGTCAGAATTTTCCTTCCCTTGTAAGACTGAGTAATGCCACACTGCTGGCATATATCAGATTTTGTTGATATCACATTTCATTTACCCTTCGTCCACCCATGGGCACTTGGGTTACTTGTGCCTCTTGGCTGTCATGGATAACACAGCTGTGGACATAGGGCTACAAATACTATTTGTTTCCTACTTCCAGTGCTTTTGGGTACAGAGCTAGAAGTGGAATTGCTAGGACTTTTTGAAACACTGCCAAACTGTTTTCCCCAGCAGCTTCAGCATCTGGCATTCCCACCAGCAGTGTGACAGGGTCCCGTGTCTCCACATCCCTACCAACACTTGTTATTCTCTAGTCCTGAAGAATGAGGTGGTTTTATACATTTTATATATATCTAATAGGGTCTTTCCCAGAAAATCCTGGTCTAAGGGTTGATGACCTTCAGCCTCACATTTTGCTACAGGCTAGCTGTACCTCCTCCTGGGTGCACTTTTGCCTGCTTCTCCATATCTTGCCATCAGCTTATTTGTAAAACATGAGTGGACCAGTAGTGATGGCACATCTCTTCTCCTGGTACTACGTCTACGTATCATCCGAGCTACTCTGGAGTCTGAGGCAGGAGGATCACAAATTTGAGTCTACTCTTGACAACTTGGTGACAGTTGGTCTCAAAAATAAATAAAATAAAAATGGCTGGAGCTATAGCTTTGTGCTCCCTAGGTATAATCCTCAGTATAAAAATATAAAAGGGAAAGGAGTGTCTCTTCTGGTTCTTGCATGGTAGCCATAGTCCCTGATACCTTGGCACATGTTAGCCCCTCCCTGTCTCAGCTGATCTCATGCCAATTTGTATCCATCTGTCTGCTGTCTTCCACCAGATTCTCAGATTGTAGTTTGGCTTTCGGTGTCATCATATTTTTTTTTGCAATTATTTATTTATGTATTTATGGTACTGGGAATTGAACTCATGGCCTCATGCATGCTAGGCAAGCACTTTACTACTGACCTATAACACCCAGCCCAAATTTTTAATTCTGTAGATTGTCACATTTATCACTTTATTCCTTTATGCTGTAATTTCTCTGTTATCTGGATTTTTTTTTGTTTTTTTTTTTTGGTTATTTATTTGTTTAACAGCACTGGGAATTGAGCACAGGGCCCTTGCACATGCTAGGTAAGTGTTCTATCATGTAGCTACACCCAGTCCCTTGTGGTTTTTTAATTTTTTAAAACTTTTATTTATGTTTTTGAGTGTATAGTACCAGAGATTGAACTCAGGGCCTTTGCAGTCAGCTATATCCTCTGCCCATTTATTTGTTTAGTTATATTATTTTGAGGCAGGATCTTGATAAGTTGTCCAAGCAGAGCCCATATTTATGATTCTCCCACCTCAGTCTTCCAGAATGCTGGAATTATAGTCGTGCACCACCACTCCTGGCTTGATTTTTTACCTTTGCTTATCTGCTAGATTAGACACACTCTGGTTCTGTTTACTACAATCAATCATCTTTTTATATATTTACTGGTCTTTCTTGAAACTGAGAGTGTCTCTGTGTGAGTGAGTATGTGTGTGTGTGTGTGTGTGTGTGTGTGTGTGAGTCATAAGTTTGGTCCTTGGCCCACTTTCTATCCGATTGGTTTCTGTTATCTTTTTCTTATCTTCCAGCTGGTCTGTGTAGTAGAGATAGGATCCTGTGTTATACACGGAGCAGATTTTCTCAGCTTCTCATGTCTTTTAACTTGTATAATGTACAAATGGTTTTCCTTTTTTTTTCAATGTAACTTAAATCTCTTTTTACAGTTAATGGCTTTTAGATTTATTACATGTTCAGAAAGGTCTGCCCCACCTCCCAAGATCTTTTTTTTAAGTCTCTGTATTTTCCACAGCCTGTAGGGTTTCCACAGCCTGGATTTCCCTCCACTGAAATCCTAGAGCTGGTTGCCATTGTTGGTGGGTTACCAGGGTACCCCTGCTGGGTGACAGGATGATTCCCACCCAGGGTCCCCAGTTCTGCCTCTGGCCACTGGGACTGCTGGTTTTGAATCTTTTTGGTTTCCTTCACACTGATTTCCCTTGGAGGAATTTAGACATGGTTTGTCAGCCTCTCCATAAGTTCTTTGTGCTGGACCTGTCTTGAAACAGCGTTGAGTATGTGGCAGCCTAGAAGGCCAGTCCCTTCCCTGCTCTGCCCAGGCTGCAGCCTCCTGTGGGCTCAGGTGATTATTATGGCCTGTCACTAGGGCAGCATTTTCTGAGTTCTGGGACTGCATGTTTCTGGGAAGGGGGACTTCATGCGGGGATTACACAGTGGTGAAGCCCGGAGAGGATCTGGCTCCAGTGGCCAAGATCGGCACTTCTGGCCTATGACTTAAGGATCCCTTCTCTGTGACTGTGTTGTGGGCAGCCAGCTCAGCCAGGAAGACATGGCCTCAGATATTTTGGTCAGGAAAGAAACTGCAGTGTTTATTTTCTTCAGAAAAAAAACATTTAGGAGATTTTTTTTTAAAGCTCTTTAGTTTAGAAGGAATCTAGGTATGTTATTGTTTAAGAAAAAAAGTGTTTGCAATGTATCAGTCACCCGTTTCATTCTGAACATGATTTATGTGAGGAAATGGTTTTTTTAAAAAAATTAAGCTGGAGATATATCCCTGTACGATGCTTCTGTGAAAATGCAGCTTTTGTCCAACGCTGTTAATGCAAGTTGTAACAGTGTAATACGGGAGTGAGTGTTTACATGTTACATTCCTCTGCAGCAGTCAAAATAAGCCCGGAGGGTCTACAGTAGCATTTCTGTATTTTATCAGCTTGGGCTGGGGCTGAGGGGGAGGCCTCTGCTCACACTTGGAGGGGCTGTTTCTGCCAGATTTATTTGCCTTATAAATATTCCCCATGTTTATTTTAACTCGCCTTTAAAATGGAGCTGAAATTAATATGGACCCTAGGGCTGGCCCTCTGGCCTCAAAGTGCCTCCTGGAGTTGGGTAGGGACATTTTGACTGCTTGGTCCCAGCCTAGAGGCTGGTGGGCCCAGCGTGCCTCTGCTGGCAATGGGCACTGAGTCTACTGGTTGGCAGCTCTGCCGAGGTTGGGTCCCATCAGCCCCAGCCAGGTCTCTGATGCAGTCTGCAGGATGCACCCCATCCTCCTTGTCTTTCTCCATACTTAAGCACAGGCAAGAGCTGTGACTTTTAGGTGTATCTGTGTGGGACCCAGGGACCAGTGATTTTGGGTCATCCCCGAAGTGTGTTGGGCCTTAGATGTGCCTATACTGCTTTAGCTGAAGGCTGATCAACACTGCCTTTGAGCATTAAATAGGAAGCCTTTCTTCTTGGCTGGCATCAGGTCTCAGGGAGCTAGGGCTAGACAGATGGCAGAGATGGGGCAGTCATACCTGAGCCCTGTCTGTAGGAGACAGAATTAAGGTCCACTCTTTATTCAATAGCTGGGTGTCAAGCAAACAAGGTCAAGCTGTTGGTCAGAGAAAGGTAAATGCCGGTGTCAGAGCCCATGAAGGTGACCAGCCAGTATAGAGAACCCCTGGAAAGGCAGCCTGAGTTTGCAGCAGGGGAGGGACCCTCAGGCCTAGTGGGCTCGGGACATCTTGGC